TAAGGGGGTTTCCAAGATTGAGTTCTCAGCACATGCCTCCTCTGCAGAGACATGCTCTCCAGCCATGCCCAGGACACTTCCTGCCAAGCCTGTCTGTCACGGCTCCTTATGTCACTTCCTCTGTAGCCGAGACAGAATGAGCACACAGCTTTGCCCTGGTTGCCATGTGTTGCCCAGCAAGCTGGCACTCGCATACCCTCCAAAACAGTCACCCAACAAGGCTACTCAACATTCATGGTAAAGTCCATTTAGCCTCCTCCTGAGCGTGGGTCCCCATGTGGGTCTCTCTTCCCTTCATTCATTATTCAAAAACACTGTGTCCAGCCCAGGGCTGGGTGTTAAGGTGCTGACCCCTGACCTCACAGAGTTCCCACTGGTGTTGGGGCGGCGGAGGTGGGCAGAAATACAGGCTGGGGTCCGTGGCGCTAGTGCTGTGAAGCACAGGCTGGAGAACAAGTGGCGGGGAAAGACCTCTCTGAGGAGGTGACGTTTTAGTGACTCTCTCAAAGACACAGAGCAGGGACAGAGCTGAGGAGAATCTCACGCTCTTGGCTTCCACACAAGCGTTTCTGCCCCATGAACCTTGTCCCCAGCTCTCCTTCATGCTGAAAAAGCCCACAATTTTCAAGAGCTTTCCCTATATGCAAATCCACGGGGCTAAAGGGGGGGGGTGGTAGAGGGAGCTGGCTCCTGGGACTCTCTCCTCCTCCCTGCCCCTCCCAGTAGCTCCAAATACTTTAGCAATACAAGCTTTTTTCCTAGTTTGTGTTGAAGTTTCTTGAGAAGCATAACTGAAGAAAGCCAAAGAATCCTTGTATCAGCATAGATGGGAAGACTTATTATCCCAATCGTGGAGACCCGTTGTAGTGGCAGGATGACACAGTGCAGGTTTTCTATGATCCCAGCAGACGGGGTAAGGAGAAGTCCTGGAGCCCTCAGTGGCTTTTCAGGCTTTTATTGGGGCTTACTGGGTACACAGCAGGCAGGAGTGCGGGGGGCCGGGAGGCTGGCAGGACTCCCAGCCCCCAGCAAGTCTTCACTCTATCTGGGCTCTCTGCTGTTCTCTGGTGGTCTCTGCTTCTCTCGTGGTTCTTCTGGCGTCCCCATGATGCCGCCCTTATAAGCACAGTCTTAGCCCAGGTGAATCTCATTTACATAGGCCCACACCTTATTCCCGGTGCCCACCATCAGGCATGCATTCAGAATCGCAAGGATCCATCATCAATCCTAATGGTGGGAGGGCAGAAAAGCCTGATACTTTTTCACTTACCCTACACCCGTCAACAGAGATGGTTTAAACCTGGACACCAGCAGCACCCACTGGTGACTGTGACCCCCCTATTAATTTAATGTTACAAATGCACTATGTTCCAGTTGATGTTACATGTAGCATCTCAAACCTCACAGTCAGCTTGAGAGGCAGAAACTGTTGCCATCCCCAATTTGCGACTAGGGAACTGAGGCAAGGAGAGGTTCAGAGACTTTCCCAAAACCACAGAGATAAGACATGGTGGAGCCAGAACTTGAGCCCTTCCTTCTAGAGCCCTCATTTCTTTCAGTGTCTGGTGAGCAGCAGAGCTCCCTGCTTAATCCTAAGTATTGCTGCTCTCCCTGGGAGCCAAGCAGCCTCTCCGGCTGTTTCCAGCAGGGGGCACCAAAGCCCCTGGCCCACCTAGCCCCTGCCAGGGGAGGACTTGGTGTTGCTAAAAGTGGAACTGCATCCACTGATGAGAGATTCCCTTCTCTTCCCTTGACTTAGAGAGCACCAGATGGGGAGAAAGCCCTTACATTAGCATGGTGCTGGCAAAGAACTCTCCTCAATACGTCCCACTGAGTCGTGACACAGTTATTCATACCTGGTTCTAGATCTTGGAATGCAGCAGACACCTTTCCCCACTGGGGAAGCTGCTAGTCAAGTGAGAAATTAAATGACCTGGAAATTATTAGCCAGCAAGTTTTAAAATAAAAACAACTGTCCTGGATCATGCAGCTATTAAGTCTATAATCTTGTATTAAGTCACACTTCTCAGTTGATGCAAGCCCCATGCTGAGTGCTGGGGTACAGAGATGATCCTTGTTCCTGTCTGCAAGGAGCTTGCATCCTAATGTGGGGCTGAAGGTGGTGGCTGACTTTGGGTGGGAAGGGCTGTGCCAGGACAGCTTGGGGACCATGGAGCTCTCCCCAGACTAAGATGATCACGGGTGATGAGGATGGTAACAGCAGCGTCTACCGCCTAGTGTCGTTAGAGGAGTAAATGAGTTAATACGCTGGAGTTCTTAATGACACAGTAAGTGCTCCCTAAAGGAAAGGACACTTGTGAGTAGTGCTTTGGAGGTAGAATGTTCAGGCTGGGCTGATAGAGTGCACCTGCAGGTGGGAGCTAGGAGGAGGAGAGGGGGAGGGGAGGAACATGGCCAAGACAGACTTTGTGACTTTTCCCTCCAAGCCCTTGCCTGCTCTACCCTGTCACTCACTGACACCTCCATCCATGCAAGGACTCTGGCCAGCATAGGAGTCACTGGTGATTCCCTCTCTCTATCCCACTTCCTCTGTCCACTGGGTCCCTCCAAGTCCTGTCAGCACTGTGTATACCCCCGGTGTTCTGCCCTGTACCCTACTCCTACCCTGTGGCTAGCTGTGCAATGATTGACCCCAAAATGTTGTGGCACAAGCCAGCCATTTCATTACATGGACAGGTTGGGGGGCTCAGGAATTTGGATGGGGCATGATATATTGGGGATGAATACATAAGCCACCATCCACAGGCTGGGAAGACTTGCTGGCTGGAGTCTCCTTTGCCCACATATCTAGCATCAATGCTGACCTCATTGGGGCCACAGCCTTGGGGCCCTGGAATGGAAAACCTGTGCGTTTCCTAAATGTATGGTAGGGGCTTCCTCACAACATGGCAGCCTCCAGACTACTTCCTTGGTTACTCAGCAGACGCCTTCTAGTCAACAAGGCAGAAGCTGCACTGCCTCCGAAGACCAGCCTTGCCGGTCTTGCAGCATCTCTTCTGTCACACCGTATTGGCTGAAACTTTGCAGGACGACCACCGTTCAGGCAGCGATGGTCCAGAGAGCTCACTTCTCATGGGAGGCATGATTTTTGGGGCCATGTTTCAAACCCACCCAGTCTTCTCTGTTTGGCCTGGCTCTACTTTGACCAGCCCCAATCATGCCCCCCAGTGGGTTCTCCCTAGGCATGCAAAAGGGGCTTTTGCATGAACAAATCAGATGAATACCATTCTTCATATCCTTCAGTGCCCTCCTCTGAAATCCATGCCCTCCATGTGCCCACACAGCTCTGTGGGCTCTCCCCTCCACCTCACTGCTTTCCTTCTTGAGTGCAGAGCCCACATCCCCTGTTGGGGCTCATGTCCACCTCCAAGCTTTTGCACAGCTGTTCTGCTTCCTAAAATTCTGGGCCCTAGCATCTCACGTGCCTCAGGACTCTGCCGGATGCTACCCCCTCAGACAAAAAATAAACCACCCGGTAGGCAACATTGTCTCTCTCATCATTCTTTTAATATCCCCAGTTGTCCCTGTGAGGAGGTCTGTAATCATGTATTTGCACAGATCCGGTCTGTCTCCCTCCCTAGCTCCACAGTAGGATCCGGGTCCTTCTTGGTCCTTCCTGTATCCGCCATGCCCACCATGGTGCCTGGCACAGAGCTTGTGGGATGCTGATGAATGCATGAACAAGGTGTTTCAGGACCGTGTGTGTGATTTAGAAAAATAATTCTGAAGACGAGGGCAGGCCTGATACGGGAAAGTGGGGATGGAGAGAGGGAAGCAGCGAGGGGGAGCCGGAGAGGAGCAGGAGAGTGGTGGCGGCTAAAGTCAGGCACGCCACGTCTCCAATCCGGCTCTGCCACTCACCAGCTGGTGACATCGGCAAGACACTTTCCCATCCCTAAGCCGCAGTTTCTTCAGCTGAAACTTGAGTCCACTAGCACCGACCTAGCTCACCTGACAGTGAGGGATCCGCACCCTTGGGCAGCCGGGATGCGGTCCCCAGCGAGGCCCAGCCGCACCTCCCGCAGGGCCCGCCAGGTGTCGCCTCGAGCGCGCGCCGCGCGGCCCTCCGGGGCCCGCGCCCTCGGGCGGCTCCGACACCCCACTTCTCGTCTCGGTGCCGGGCGTCAGGCTTCAGCCCGACTGTCCGCTAGGAGCGGGATTCCAGAGAAGCCGGCCGACCTGGGCGCCCACCTGTCGCTCCCCCTCGACTACACGGGGATGGGAGAATGTGCTGAGTCAGTTCTCCGGGTCCCGCCAGCAGCCGCGCGGAAGAGGGCGCCCTTTCCGGCAGCAGGACTGGTGAGTCCGGGGAAGGGGAAACCGGGGTGCAACCCACCCTCTTTCGGCTCCGGGCGTTTGGCCAGGTGGGAGAGACGGGGAAACAGGTTGGGTCGCGAAGGCTCTGGGCCGAGCTCTGATGCCTCCAACCTCAGCGTGTCCCTGGCCGTCTCCTCGCCCTGCCACTTGCGAGTCAGGGACGGGTGGGGGTCGAGGGGACTCCCCGAGCCCCCCACCCGGCTCCGCACCCCTGAGCCGGGAGAGGGCGCCGCGGGAGCGCGTGGGGCAAGGCGCGAGCGAGCGCTGGGAGCGGGCGGCCCCGTCCCGTGGGCGCGGGGCGCGGGGCGGGCGCTCCGGGAGGCGGGCGGGGAGGGGCGGGGAGGGCCGGGAGCAGCGAGGGAGGGAGGGGCGGGGCGGGCGGCGGCGCCCCGCACTCCCCGCGCCTCGCACACTTGCTCCGGCCGCTCGCGCGCAGCCCGGCGTCGCCCCGCGCCGCGCTCGCTCCTCCCTCCCTCCTCCGCTCCGAGGCTCCCGCGCTCCCGGCGAGGCTCCGGCGCCAGCGCGCGGACGGGCACCCGGACAGACAGCCCCCCGGACTCCTCGGCCCGTGCCTCCCGGGCGGGCTATGTTGATTGCCCCGCCGGGGCCGGCCCGCGGGAGCAGCAGAGCCCGGCCCGCGGCCCCGGCGGCCAGCGGGGACTATGAACCCGAAAGCGCGGCGTTGCCTGGGCCACCTCTTTCTCAGCCTGGGCATGGTCTACCTCCGGATCGGGTAAGGGCCGCTCGCACCCCTGCACGCGTGTCCCGGCGAAGTTGGCGGGCGCGGGGAGGGGTTGAGCCGCCCGCGAGGGGCCGCCGGCCACCAACTTCCTTGGCTCCTCGCAGAGACTGGGTGGGTGCGCTGCGGGAGCGGCGGGCGCACAAAGGCTCCCCGCAGGCGGGCGCCCCAGGGGCGCGCACAGCTCGGGAGACCCAGGCAGGAGGACCGGCCATCCTGAGCACGTCTGAGTCTGGAAGCCCCCAGAACAGAGACAGGCAGCAGGGACGCTCCAGCTTGGGGTACTCGGAGGAGGGTGGCTGCTGCCGAGGGTCAGCCTCTCCCAAGGACCCTTTGGGCATAGAAACGGCAGGTCGGGCAGGAACGCGGAGCCGAGCTGTGAGCCAGGACCACGGCGGCTCCCAGGGAGCCCAGCGGAGGGGAACTCTACCGAGGCGCGGACGCCGCCGCTCCTGGAGACGGGGCGGTTCAGGAGGCAGGCGGGGCCGGGCTGTGCCGCGGGGAACAGGTACCCAGCGAGAGGGACGTTCGCTCGCAAAAACACAAACTGCTGCCCAGAACCAAGGCACCAACCTAATTTCCGAGGACCCTCAGATTCCCCGAGCCCTTTCTAGGCCAAGGGGACAGCGGCAACCCACCCCCACCCCACACACAAAGGTAGGGCGAGACATGGCCCGAGACACCCAGAGGGACCAGCGCAGAGCCAGCGGCTGAGAGAGGCAGGACCCCGACCCCGAAAACTGGCCACCTGAGGCCATCACCGGGCTCGGCAGCTCGCCGAGTGCCCTCCCCGCTTCACCCCGGCGTTTCTGTGGAGGTGGGGCCTGGGGCAGAGCTCTGGCTGGAAGGTGGGAGGGGGTGGCCGGGACCGTCTTGAATCTGCTCTTGCAGGGCCGTCACCCTTTGTACTTGGGAGATAATGCCTGGGAGCCCGAGCCGGGGGCGGAGGGGGTGGCGGTGCGGGGATTGATAGGGGGTCTGGCAATACAGGGCCACCTTGTCAGGTTTTGCACAACCTGCCGCCCACCCCAGCAGGGAACCTGCCCCCGCTCCTCTTGCGGGGGCAGCTCTCCGCCAGGCTGCGCGGCCGGGGGTGTGCGTGGCAGGTCCTTTGTGTTTTGCCACCACCACGCCTCCCTTTCCCCACCCGCCTCTCTCCACTAGCGTCTCGCAGGTTGCCCGGCCGGGGCGGCGAGCAGGTGCGCCCTGTGGGGACCAGCCAACCGCTTGCCCCCGCCGCGGGCAAAGAAGCCACCGCAGGCGGGAGGTGCCGCCGCGGGGCTCGCGCGCTGCCTGCCTGCCGGTGTATTTTAAGTGTTATTGATTCGCCCGCGTCTGGGTAGATTTGCTTCCCCCCCTGCTTTAATCTTCATCTTGGCCCGCGCCCCGCCGCCCCGCGCGCATCCAGCATCCAGGAAGCTGGTCAGGCTGATTGGCGCTGGCCGCGTGAGGCTTTATCTCCTTTTTAATTAGAAACGGGGCGGAGGGACCGGGGAGGGAAGAGAGAAAGGGAAAACAACAGAAAATAACCTCCCCTTAGCTGCCCTGCCCGCCCGCCTGCCAGACCGGCTGCCGGCGCCACCGGGACTTCATTGGCCCCGGGGCCCAGCTGCCCCAGGGGGAGGGAGCCCCGAGGGCGCCGGCCTTCCCCCTGCGGTCACCCTTAGGGGCGGGGATCAGTCCAGGTCGCGAGAAGGAGCAGCTGGGTGGTTGGGGGGCAGGCCCTGTGATCCCTGGGCCTTGATATCGCCATCTGTAAAATGGGCCCAAAGGGTCAAGAGCCAAAAAGGTTTTGTAATTCCCCAGATGTGATTGGTTCCTACTCACTGGCTGCCACAGTCTTATTTTACTTGGGTAGTTCAAGTGACTCAAACATTGGCCTCATCTAACAATCAGATCTGATAATAATAACTACAACAACAGCACAATTATTGAGGACTTACTATGTGTCTGACACCTTCCAATCACCCTCCATATTTTAACACATTTATTTCTCCCAGGAGCCCTATAAAGTGAGGACCAGTTACCAATATTCTTACCTTAGGGAGGACAGAGATGGGGCTGAAACTAGCCGAGGTCACATGGCCAGGAAGTGAAGGGATTTCTTGGTGGTCTGCTGGGTGTTCGGGGCCTTCCTGACGTGTGCCCAGGATGCCTCTACCCTGGCTTTATCTTTTTGGACCACACTCCTTCTTTTCCTAGTTGTGGCCAACACCCGAGCTCTGTGTGAGTCTCTCAGAGGCTGAGATGGGTGAGCGGGTGTTCTGCTGGGACCAGCTCCTGCTGGCCTCTGGGTATCAAGCGCTGTGAGCCTTGGGGTTCACATATCTTTTCATGATATGTGAAATGATTTGAGATAGGGCGCTTTCTGCCCTGTTTAGGGCTAATATTTGGGGCAGCACCTGTGACTAGCCATGACCCTCAAGAAGTGGGGGCTCTTATTGTAAGCAAAGTGAGGTATCAGGGGTGAAGTCTCCTCTAAAAATACTCTTGATGTATTTAAAGGTATTTAAAGGATTTCACAAAAGGAAGATGGGTCACCTTGGTTATAAAGGGAGGGTTACCTGTGCTGTCAGGATTACCACTGGAGCCTGTTGGGGGTTATCTTGATATTAGGAAATGACCCCACCCTCAGGCCAGATACCCAGGAGTCACACTGACGCCTCTCTTTCCCTTGTACCTCCCTCAACTCCACCCTGCTCATCAGGGTGGCAAGTCTGGTTCACTCCCTTTGCAGCCACCTCCACCACTGCCCCCAAAGCTGCTGCCCCCTCTGAATTGCCTGCTCTCCCTGCTGCTGCCCTGCCCCCCATAGTGATGGGAAGGATAGGTCTATCCATGTCCTTTTTACCACCCTTTGATGCACCTGAGAAAATTCTAGACCTGAGCTAGATCCTCTCCCCTTCCCCCAAGCGACCTGGCTCCATTGGCTTCTGTGGGTTCTTTCTGAAGAACAATGAATGGTGATTGAAACCAAGCTTGTTCCCCTCCCAGGAGTTTGCATTTTTCTGTTCCCTCTACCCAAAATATTCTTCCCCAGCTCTTCCCACAGCTTCTCTGGCCATTCAGGTCCTTGTTCCACTGTCACCTCCTCAAGAAGGCCCTCCTTGAAGATGTGAGCCCTCTCCCTTCCCACTCAAGCCCACCCCTGATTGCCATCACAGCATCCTGGCTCACCTTCTTCACAGTGGGCACTGGTGTCTGCAACGGCCAGTTTCACACTTCATTTGTGACATATGCATGTCTCCCTCCAGGCTTCTGGAAGACAGGGCCTGCCTCTCCCAGCATGGCACCTGGCACATGCAGGTGTGCAGTGTGCATGTGTGCAGTGACTAACTCAGGAAGCTAGGACTCTGGCCCAAAAGGGATACACAAACTCCATTGGCATGCAGGAAGAAAATACTAGAATGTCTATTTACAATTGCTTTTCAAAGTTTCCTTCCTGCACCCTTTTGGTAAAAAAATGTATGTATACATCCAAGAAAATAAATATAACATGTGTGAAGAGTTTTTTTTTTTAAATGAACACAGGTGTGCACACTAGCCCTATTCACCTTTGCAGAGATGTAGAGATGACTCTGACACTGTATCAGGTGTCATTCTGCATAATTTTAAACTTCATCTCAATTGACCCCTATCATAAATACAAGGGAGCTGTCTCCATTCATTTCCCTTCATGCTTCTGACATACAGCATTTTTTTACCTCTCAAAGGAAATCAAGCCTCACTAGTATTAAAGATACACATCACACAAGTGTGATGGATTATAAGTGAGATACATGGGTTGGGAGTGCAGTATCAGAAAGGTTGGGAGAGCCCCTCCTGCGAGTAGTAATGGGGCTAGTGGTCAAGGGTGGTCACCCAAGGAGAGCCTCTCGGTCTTGCCCCCCACCTTGCTAGCCTAATGCTCCCTCTCTCTGTGTCCCCTGCTCCAGCGGCTTCTCCTCCGTGGTGGCTCTGGGCGCGAGCATCATCTGTAACAAGATCCCAGGCCTGGCTCCCAGACAACGGGCGATCTGCCAGAGCCGGCCCGACGCCATCATCGTCATAGGAGAAGGCTCACAAATGGGCCTCGACGAGTGTCAGTTTCAGTTCCGCAATGGCCGCTGGAACTGCTCAGCGCTGGGGGAACGTACAGTCTTCGGGAAGGAGCTCAAAGTGGGTATGTGCTCACCCTGACACCCCATGCCATTTGCCTGCCCTACCCGGAGACCTTACTCTCAGAACCACCTGGGACCCCTCACCTGTTCTGTGAATGGCCCTCAGTGTAGGCTCCTGCAGTACACAGACTTGAAATCAGGTCTTCGCTGAGGAGTTTGAAGCCACGTCACCCCACCTATTTATGGCAAAGTTGAAAACCAGTCACCAAACACTGGCTGATACAGCATTGATGTCATTTTTAAGTTGAAGCCCCAATTTTAAAATGGTCTGTTTCACCTAAAAATACAAATTTCTGGCTTCTTCTTGAAAAATTGGCCAATTTACCAATGGGTTACATATGTGCTCACCTGTTGTAAAGGTGTGATGCTGAGAATGTGGCTTCTTTTAGCTGGAGCCCGTGTAGCCCACTCACGGCCTCAGTCCCCACTGCTCCCTAGTACTACCCCACTCCTTTATATGACTCCCTGTGCTGTATGGGCTTCTGACTTTGAAACCCCTATTTCTTGGGAATGATGTATTACACTGACATGCACACACACGCAGATATACACACACAGACGTGTGCTCAGGGTTTAGGCCCAAGAAATCATGAGAAAAACCTAGGGTAGGGAGAGCAGTGTTGACATTGGGAAGCCTTATTGGTGTGGGGAAGGCTGCGTGTGTATGTCTTCTTGCTTATGTGCATCTGGACTGGGTTGTGGTGGAGAGGACAGAGGTGTGGAACCTGCAGGCTCATGAGCTGTGAACTTCCCTGGAAGTCACATCAACCTCGGGTCTGGAGTGGTTGACCCAGCCTGCTCAGCTGCTTTAAGGGTGCCTGAGTTCTTCGTCTCACTCAGCCCCAACATGAGCAAATCCAATGGGTATTGAAAATATACACCCCAAATCCACCCACTTGTTCGTGTCCTCACTTCCTCCCCAACACCTCTCCGACCTGGTCATCCTATAGGACTATCCTTTGTAACTGAAATCGCACATCACTACCCTGCTTACCATCCCAGGGAGCTTTCCCCTTGCAGCAGAATGAGATCTCAAGGGCTGCCTTCTGCCCGCCTGGCCCTGCCCCACTGGCCTCGTCCTGTGTCCCAAGCGCTGGGAGCTACTCTGGAAGCTCAGCCCTCTCATTCCTTCTGCCTCGGCTCCTTTCCTCAGCTCTGGACCCCTGAGCCCCTGTTCTCTGTGTTCAGCATCCAGGTCTCCTGGAGCCTCCCTATGTAACCCCTCTAAAGCTAAAGTCCCCTCTCACCTGGGCACTGCATCCCACCCCACCCAGGGGGAGGGCCAGCTCCATGCGGGTTGGGGCTCCCCTTCCCCTTCACCCCTGAGTGTTTTCTTCCGCAGCCATCTTGGCAGGACAAACAGCACCATCTCAGTCCTGCAGCGGGTCTTGTTACCTCACCACATTCTGCCCTCCTTGCCATGTTCCCTACTACTCACACCGGGACAGCAGGTTCCCAGGTTCAGGGGGTCAAGGCAGGCCCTGTGGCCTCCTCCTAAGCCGTCTACTGACACACTCTTTGCCCTTCCCCACAGCTTTGTGGTGAGAATTTTGTCTTCCCCTTCTTCTTCTTCTGCCCAACCTCGGCTCACTTTTCAGGTGGAGAACTGAGGCCCTGAGAGAGATGGGGACCGCCAGCCTCACTGGGCGGCAGCTTCCACACTGGGCTGCAGTTTAAATGCCTGAGATCCCCATCTTATGAGCTTCCCTGCAGCACCTGTGGCTGGACAGTGCAACATCTGTCAGGCCAAGTCATAGGTTAGGCTTTTCCTCCCTGTGAATGGAGAGTGAAGGAGTGACAGGACTTGACTTCGGGTTTAGCAGCGTGACTGTAGCTGCTGGGAAGAGAATAAACTGTGGAGAGGCAAGGGTGGGAGTCAGGAGTCTGGTTCTGTCTTCCAGGCAGGGGGTGACAGTGCCTGAGACCTAAGGGATCACTGTGAGATCTTCTTTGGAAATGAACTTCTGGGGCAAAGGGAAACTGACAACCAGAAGGCCATGTAGGAAGGACTTAGCCTGGTCTGCCCAAGCTTTGGTTGTGGTGGCTGTGGGAGCAGAGGAAGAGGAGGTCAGGATGACAGCCTTGACATTCTGAGAAGTCACCTTCCCCTCAAGCCTCAGTTTCCTGAGGTGTAAACATGTAACCTGCTCAAGGACACCAAGAAACAAGGCTCAAATTTAGACTTTCTGGGTTCTTCATCAGTGCTCTAACCCCCACAGGAAGGCCTTTTTCTGGGAATGACCCACCAACAAGGGCTGCCTTTTGGGGTGAGGGATCAGGAGTATAGTCTGATTTAGGGAGCTTGACCATCTCATCCATACTCTGGACAGCAGGGCACATCACCTGCCTTTCTCAGAAGGTCCACCTCACACTTCTGCTGATGTCTCATTGGCCAGAAACTTAGTCATGTGACTATACATAGCTGCAAGGGAAGCTGGGAAATACAGTCTTTCATTCAGAGTAGCCACAACACCAGCTCAGGATTTGTGACTGAGGAAGAAAGAGGAAGGGAAGTCCAGGTGGGCAGCTACCCCTGATGGATTCTGTGCCATGCTGAGATCTGAAGTGCTCCACCCCCTCCTTAACTTCCACTCTGGTCATCAGCTCTCCCTGTGCTTTGTGACTCTCTCTCCTCTCCTGAGTGTTCCAGATCTCATTGCTTAGGTCTGAGGAGAAGGCCATGACTACATATGATGCCAGGCTCTGTTAGAAGCTAGAAATTGAAACCCAATTTAAGCAACCTCAGGTGAGAAGGGGGACTTCTGTAGGTCTATATAATGGGATGTGTAGTCAGGCATGATGCTAGTTTTTAGTATGGCATGAACAGAGGTAGCCCTGGCTTCATCCACCCCACAGCTGCCTCTTGGGCCAGCTAGAAGGCCATTGAAGCTCCATCACCACAAACTCCATGTTAAAATCCTCTAGAAAGGACCTTAGCCTTTCTCTGGTAGCACCTGCAAAAGCCCTAAGGTTTGTCTCGATTGGACCAGCTAATGGGCTTGACTTTTAGTCCTGTGTCCATCCCTAACTAATCACAGTGCCCAAGGACAGCAGTACTTTCGTTGGCCAGGCCTGGGAGCCCCACCCAGGCCATCTTTCAGGGGAGAGAGACAGCTCTCAAGTCTGTCAGTCTGTCGGGCTGCTGTACAAAGAACCTCAGGCCAGGTGACTCAAACAGCAATTCTAGAAGCTGGAAGTCCAAGATCCAGGTGTCAGCAGCTTTAGTTTCTATTGAGACCTCTCTCCAAGGCTTGTGGGATGTCCCTCTTCTTATTGTGCCCACATGGGGCCTTTCCCCGGGGTGTGTCCATGTCCTAATCACTTCCTATAAGAATACCAGTCAGATTGGATCAGGGCCCACCCTATGGTTTCATTTGGGTGTGGTATGTGACGCCACAGCAGCTTTATCAACTGCTACCCAGGCCCTATATTGTCTTTGGGACACAAGAAGTCATTTGCCATACTCCCAGATTTTCCTTTTCTTAAATAATACAGTGAATCCCCTCTGAAACACAACTAGAAGGAGGATGGGTAATTGACATCCACCCTCCTGCACCCGCTATTTGTCCTTTCCAAGTGGAACTTTCTCAGTCTTGTGTTTCCCATTCCTTGCTTGTCTGTGTCTAGTTTAGCATATTACTATATATAAATTATAGAAGTAAATTACTGGGCTTGAGTTGTATTTAATTTTTGTAAAGAAAAGGCATCATACTCTATGCAATTCTTTAGAACTTACCTTTTTCATTCACTAGTAATGAAACTCACTTATTGCTGTTGTTGATATATTTCTGGTCACAACCTAGGACCCGTGCTTTTGGTTGTGGGCCATCTGCATTGTCACTAAGCATTTGCTGTCACTCAAAGTACCACCATGTCCTCCTTGTGCATGCATTTCTCTTGGGTCTATACAGAGGGACTCACTTCCGGTTGTAGGGTATGATATCAACCTGATTTCCACAGTGGCTATGCCAAGGGCCACTCTGTCAGCCAGCAGTGTTGAACCACAGCTTTGCTAACACTTGGGATTATCTGTTTTTGCCTAGCAAATGGGTATAAAGTACTATCTCACTGTCATCTTGAATTGTGTTTCCATGAGAAGTGAAATGGTTGAAATCTCTTACTATATATTTACCAAGTGCACATGTTTATTCCTCCAAGTTATTCACGTTGCCCCTTTCTCTGTTGGACCATGTGTTCTTCACTTGACTGTTGTGGCTATATCACGTGACGGCACAGGGGGCTGGGTTGGGTCAGGCAGCATCCCTGGGAGAGTGGGTTCCTTTGGAGCTTCATGCTCCTGGCTATCATCTCTTCATTGAGGGTCTTTGGGGTCAGGGATTCAGACAGCTCTTCCTCCTACTTGAGCCCATTTGGTCTTATCCACCTGCAAAAGGAGGCATGTCCACCTCCATCTCAGACTCAGAGCCAGGTGGGGGCTGATCACGTGGCTGTTTTGTGGCAGGGCTGAGATGGGCAGTGGCTCCCTGTTGCTGGAGAGCTCTGTCTGTTTGGGTGAGCTGCCAGATCGGAGATCCCCAAGGATGTTGTGTGCTTGTGATCCTCGTCTTGTAGAGGTGCTGTGGGCTGTCCAGCACTGCCTTGCTGATGACCCTGCATAAGCACATTACCTTTCTGACTTGTATTATGGGAGTGCCACACAGCCCACCTAGCCAGGGGGCAAGACCCTAGTACCTGATGGGGTGGGGTTCTCGGGGGACATCTCCTCACTCCTCCTGGGGGGCCCAATTACCCATCATATCTGAAGACGAGCTCTAGGAATGGGGGTTCACGCTCTAGAATTTATTCTTGGTGCACATAGATTGGGGGCATCTGGGGAACAGGGAGAAGCTGTTGGTACTGTTCTAATCTCTGCTCACCGTTTTGCCTCTACATATGAAATACACCCAGTCTGCCCGCTTCTCACACGTCCATGTGTGGGATGGCTCAGACCTCCAGCTCATCAGCCTCCCCAGGAGTTGGTTTGTCTTTGCTGCCACTTCAC